CCAGCGTGGCGTCACGACCGGCGGAAAGTTCGTACGGTGCGCCGTTCTCCAACGATTCCCAACCGCTAATGCCAACAGCATAGAGTGCTAACCACTGGAGCATGCTTGACTTTCTTGTGTAAAGTGAGGAAACAAGTCTACTTAACCTTTCCTTCAGTACAAGTTAATTGACTTGAGGAGGAAACATACTTGGTCTAATAATCATGAGGATCCCACTTATGCCTTATTAGACAAAGTACTAATTTCCACCTCATGGGAGGATAAATATGCTTTGGTTTACATTGAAGACTTGCCCAGAGAGCTCTCTGATCACACTCCACTGCTCGTGAAAACTGGAAATGCACCTGCAAAAACTTCAGTTTTCATGTTTGAAAACAGTTGGTTTCAAAGGCCAGATTTAAATGAGATAGTTAGGAAGGTGTGGGAAACAAATTTTCCTGGGAGTTCCATCTTGGACAGGTTTCATAACAAAATGAAAGAGCTGAGGAAGGTTTTGAAAGGGTGGAATTTGAATATTGAAGCAATTTTTAGAAGAAAGAAAAAAGAAATCTTAGAGGAATTGAATAGATTAGACAAAATGGAAGAAGAAGAGAAGCTATGTGATAATGACAAGGAAATAAAAAAAGTTTGCCATGAGTCTCTGAAGGAAATCCTTAAAGAAGAAGAAATCAGGTGGCTTCAGAGATCTCATGACACAGAGTTACAGAAGGGAGATGCTAACACTAAATATTATCATGCTAAAGCGAATGGCATACTTAGAAAAAATAGAATCATTAAGCTTGTGCATGATGATGGTGCGATTGAAGGGCAGGAGAATTTGAAGAAGTATATCACCCAGTTTTACAAAGAACTTTTTAATGAACCTGAGATCAAGACTTTAAACATGGACTCCAGTGGTGTGGAAACACTCACTGCAAATGAACAGGAATTCCTTGTCAAGAAATTCACAATGGACGAACTGAAAAAAGATGTCTTTGGCATGGAGAAGAACAAGGCGGCTGGTCCGGATGGTTTTAAAATTGAATTCTATCAACATTTTTGGGAGCTTGTTAAAGATGATTTGTTGGCACTTCTTGAGGAATTTTACGAACATAATTTCGATCTAGACAGGCTGAATTATGGAGTGATTTCTCTTTTGCCTAAAGGGAGTGATGCGGATAAGATACAAAAATATAGATCAATTTGCCTCTTGAATGTTATTTTCAAGATAATCACCAAAATTTTGGTGAATAGATTGATTATAATAATTTCTGGAGTAATTAGAGATTCTCAAACTGCTTTTATAAAAGGAAGGTACATTTTAGAAGGGGTTCTGGTGTTACATGAAACCTTGAACTCTATGCACAAAGCAAAGAAGCGAGGGGTTCTTTTTAAGATTGATTTTGAGAAGGCGTTTGACAAGGTTAAATGGCCTTTTCTTTTTCAAACTCTTAAAATGAAAAAAATTCCCAGACAAATGGATAAATTAGGTAATGAAAACTGTGATGGGAGGAAAGGTAGCTGTTAAGGTGAATGGAGAAATCGGACCTTATTTCAAAACACATCAAGGATTGCGGCAGGGTGACTCGATGTCACCCTTGCTTTTTGATCTTGTTGTGGATAACTTAGCTATTTTGATGGATAGAGCGTTTGAAGGGGGTCTGGTCTGTGGCCTGGCCAAAAATCATGAAGAGAATGATGTTTGCATTCTGCAATATGTAGACGACACTATACTCCTCTTCCAAGATGACTTGGAACAGGCTAGAAACATCAAGAGAATCCTAGGCATTTTTGAAATCATGTCGGTACTGAAAATCAA